TACAATTTTGTGTTGTTCAGAATTACTTCTCAGATGAAACTCTGTAGGGATACCATTACTGAGGAAGATATGCTGGAAAAGACTTTCAGCACATTGCATGCCTCTAACGTGCTCCTGCATCAACAGTATAGAGCGCGAGGCTTTACTGAATACAACCAGCTGATATCTGTGCTCTTAGTAGCTGAACAAAATAATGAGCTCCTAATGAAAAATCATCAGTCCCGACCTACTGGATCTACACCATTCCCAAAAGTGAATGATGTTTCCCTCGAAGGGAACGCCACATCCTTTGGTGGATATAATCATAAACGAGGACGTAGCCATAAGCGAGGCCGATGGAAAAGGAAAGGCAAAAATCATGGTGGTCAGTTTCACCACTAGATTCCAAGGTAAAATTCAGACCTAAGCTTAAAATGGAAATCACCACAAAGACAAAGCTCATATGAACAATGCTCCTAGAAACTCTGATGGAGCATGTCATAGGTATAGTGGCGATGGGCACTAGGCGTGTACCTGTCGTACCCCAAAATATCTAGTGGATCTATATCAAGTCTCCCTCAAGGAGAAGGGTGGCGAGACTAATTTCCTCAACCAGGCTAGACCAATGGATATACCTGATCCAGTGTGCGACTTATCAGGACAGTTAAACACAACCCACCTAGATGTCTCGAACTTCATTGTGGAAAGGGGGAATGAAGTGTATCGGTCCAACTGAATCATTTATATTTGATGTAATTTTATTATCTGAACTTGTAGTTTTAAAACTCGCATTTCAATAAAAGAGGCATTTAAATTTCTAAGTTGTTTTTAACCGTGATCCCCTTACTCAGAAAGCATGGATAAAAGCTATGGTTATTGTCAAAACATAAGAAATGGCGAAGATATTTGTCTTGCAGACAGCGCAACCACACATACAATACTTTGTGATTTAAAGTATTTCTCAAGCTTGATGCTTACAAGAGTAAAGGTAACAACAATATCAGGTCAATCAGATGGAATTGAAGGCTCAGGGAAAGCCCATATTATGTTACCAAATAGAACAATATTGTCCATACAGAATGCATTGTATGCTACTCGATCTACTCGAAATTTGTTGAGTTTCAAATATATACATTTATATGGATACCACATTGAAACGAAAAGTGCAGAAAATGTGGAGTATCTATGCATTACCTCCAATGATACCCAGAAGTGTATATTGGAGAAGTTGCATGGTTTGTCGAGTGGATTGTATTATACATACATTAGGACAATTGAATCACTCTGTCATGAACCAAAAGTTCATTGATTCAAAAGATTACATGCTTTGGCATGACCATTTGGGTCATCCAGGATCCACCATGATGCATAGGATCATTACCAACTCTAATGGACATCCATTATTCAGTAAAGATATTGCTATCTCAAATGATAACCTTTGCAAGGCTTGTTCTCAAGGGAAGTTGGTAATTAGACCATCACAACTAAAGGTTGATGCTAAATCATCATCATTTTTGCAAAGAGTTCAAGGGGATATTTGTGGACCTATTCAACCATCATATGGACCATTTCGATATTTTATGGTTTTGATTAATACATCTACCCGATGATCACATATTTGTCTCTTATCTACTCAGAATGTAGTTTTTGCGAGACTTCTTACTCAAATAATCAAGTTGCAAGCACAATTCCCAGATTATCCTATTAAGTCAATTCGACTTGATAACGCTAGTGAATTTATGTCTCAAACCTTTGATGATTACTGCATGACATTGGGTATTGATGTTGAACATCCTATTCCTCATGTCTATACTCAAAATGGTTTAGCAGAAGTATTAATCAAGTGGCTTCAATTAATAGCTCGCACTCTGCTTATGAAAACAAAATTGTCAGTTTCTGCATAAGGACATGCCATCCTATATGTTGCATCATTGGTCAATTGAGACCTATAGCCAACCACTAATACTCCTCAGTCAAACATTTCACATTTACGAGTTTTTGGTTGTGCTGTTTATGTGCCTATTACACCGCCACAACGCACTAAAATGGGACCTCAGCGTAGATTGGGAATTTATATGGGTTTTGATTCACCATCTATCATTATATATTTGGAACCCCTGAAGGTGATATGTTTACAGCTCGTTTTGCTGATTGTCACTTTGATGAGACAGTCTTCCCATCATTAGGGGGAGAACAGATCGTTCCAGAATAACAGCAAGAGCTGACATGGGTTGTACCTATCTTGTCTCATTTTGATCCACGTAGCACTCAATGTGAAAATGAAGCGAAAATGATCGTTCATCTTCAAAGTATTGTCAATCAAATGCTATATGCATTTAATGATGTTATGAAAGTGACAAAATCACATATACCAGCTGCAAATGCACTAACAAGAATTGATGTCCTTGTTGGACAAAATAAAGTGGCAGCGAATGATTCATCTAGTGCACGCCTGAAGCGTGGTAGACCCCTAGGTTCAAAAGATTTAGTCCCTCAAAAAAGAAAGACAAGGGCACATCTGAATCCAAATAAAATCATTCAGGAAGAGAAAATGAATGAAAAATCCGCAATTCATGATTCTGTACTTCCACAAAAAAAAAATGTCCTTAATAAGACACATGTCCTTAAAGAGACAGCAGTACATGAAAGCAAAGAATTCTCTATAAATCATGCATATACAAATGAATTGTGGGATCGGAATAAAATAATCATCAATGATATGTTCACATTCGCAGTAGCCACTGAAATCATATTAAGTGATGATATTGAACCCCCGCTCTGTTGATGAATGTAAACAGAGACAAGATTGGCCTAAGTGGAAAGATGCAATTCAAGCAGAATTAAATTCCTTGGAAAGGCGAAGTGTTTTTGGACTAGTAGTCTAAACTCCGCCTGATGTAAATCCCGTGGGTGACAAATGGGTATTCACAAGAAAATGCAATGAGAAAAACGAGATTGCAAGATACAAAGCACGACTCGTTGCACAAGGCTTTTCACAAAGACCTGGAATTGATTATGAGGAGACATATTCTCCTGTAATGGACGCAATTACGTTCCGTTACTTAATAAGTTTAGTAGTTTCAGAATAGTTTGACATGCGACTTATGGATGTCATCACTGCGTATCTATATGGAGAATTAGATACTGACATATACATGAAGGTCTCAGAAGGACTTAAGTTGTCTGAAACAATTAACAAGCCACGACGTATGCTCTCAATCAAATTAAGACGATCATTGTATGGGCTGAAACAATCTGGAAAAATGTGGTATAATCGTCTCGGTGAATATTTGATCAAAGAAGGATATATTAACAATGTCATTTGCCTTGTGTGTTCATTAAGAAATCCAATTCTGGATTTGCTATAGTGGCAATATATGTTGATGATATGAACTTAGTTGGAACTCTTGAAGAGCTCAATAAAACTGCTGAATATCTAAAAAGCGAATTTGAAATGAAAGACCTCGGGAAAACAAAATATTGTCTTGGCCTGCAGATCGAGCATTGTGCTAATGGAATTTTGGTCCACCAATCAACTTACATTAAAAAAATCCTGAAGCAATTTAGCATGAATAAGGCTTATCCACTCAGCACGCTAATGGTCGTTCATTCTTTGGACATTAAGAAAGATCCATTTTGTCCAAAATAAGATGATGAAATGGTCCTTGGTCCAGAAGTACCATATCTGAGTGCAATAGGTGCTTCATTGTACTTAACACAATGTACTAGACCAGATATAGCTTTTTTAGTTAACTTGTTAGCAAGGTATAGCTCTGCTCCAACAATGCGTCATTGGAAAAGAGTCAAAGATGTTTTGCGATACCTTCGTGGGACAACAAACATGGGTCTCTTCTACTCAGGAAAATCTACAAATGACCAAATCCTTGCTGGATATGCAGATGCTGGTTTCCTCTCTGATCCGCATAAAGTCCATATGTGTTCACTAATTGAGATACAACAATCTCATGGCGCTTAACAAAGCAAACATTAGTTGCTACATCTTCAAATCACTCAGAAATACTTACTTTACATGAAACAAGTCGTGAATATTCCTGGTTAAGATCAATGATCCATCATATCCGGAATTCATGTGGTCTACCTTCAAAGACAGACAATCTAACCGTCATCCATGAAGATAATGCAGCCTGTGTTGTCCAAATTAAGGAATGATTCATTAAGGGCGATAAGACTAAACCATGTCGCCAAAGTTTTTCAGTGCACATGAGCTTGAGAAGGCTAAAGTTATTAAAGTCAAACAAATCAGTTCTAATGAAAATTTGGCAGACATGTTCACCAAGTCTCTACCAAAGTGCATGTTTCAGAAGTTAGTGCAGAGTATCGGATTACGTTGACTTACCAATCAGCTAAATTTGAAGAATGCAAAATTAGGGGGAGATAAATATCAAGGGAAGCATCCATGATACATGCTTGTTGTACTGTTTTTCCTTCGACTAGGATTTTTCCCACATAGTTTTTCCTATCAAGGTTTTAACGAGGCAACATAAGCATACTTAACACTATATCAACAATCCAGGTAAAGTTGTACTCTTTTTCCTTCACTATGATTTTTTCCCACTGAGCTTTTCTGAGTAAGGTTTTAATGAGGTAACTGATGTTGATATGTGGGTATCCAAGGGAAAATGTTATAGAATTAGTAGGTGAATGCCCACTCAAAAGAATGCTCAAAGACTTAGTAATAGTGAGTAATAGTGTTTGATACTTTCAAAAGTATCATCGTTGTATTTTGATGGTTGTAGTTACGAGAGTCTCTCTATAAATAGAGCATTTCGTCTGTTATCAAAAACACTGTAAACGAAAGCAAGAGAAATAATATCAGTATCTCTCTCTTTTTTTATCCGCCACCCTTTTTTGTGTTATAATTTCTAAAGTAATAATGTGATATTTTGCACATGCTTCACTCTTGTCCAGGTTGTATATTTATAACAATTATTATTATATAGGGCCTCGGTAACGCCACTGAGAATAAAGATTAGTTTCAAGACACGACCTCTCTTTATACTGCCAATTTTTATGGTGATAGTAAATTTGAGATTGAGCATATATTGGATTGGCCAACGGATCTAACCCGACCAACCCTAAACCGATGCCCATCCAGCCACCAAATTGATTGTGTTGAGATACTTGATCTCTATGCACCCAAACGCAGAGACCAGTGCCCTTCTCAGTTCAAACCCAACGCCATAAACCCCCACACCAGTCCGTCTCGGGCGACTTCAACGGCGTCGAAGCAGTTGCGACGGCGGTGCCACCATCTCTTCTCAATTCCACCTCAGATTTCGACTAATATTTCAGACTTGGACGCAACCGCAACCAAGGTCAGTTTCATCTCCTCCTCCTCATTTTTTATATAATTATTTGGTTATGTATTCAGGCTTCTGATTCAAAATCCTAGCTCCTCATGATTCGTGAACCCTGATTTGGATTACTTCATCTGCTCTTACCTTTGCGTTTCCAAGTTGAGATATGACATTTGGGCTTTTGCCGCCGTTGTCTGAATTGTTTGAAGAATTAAGGCCTGTTTGTTATCGTGAAAATTTTTATCATTTTTCAAAATATTTTTAAAGAACATTTCTTGAAAATAATTTTTTTTAATATTCAAAAACTTGATTAGTTTGCGGGTTAAAAATTTTAAATTTTACGACTTAAACTGAGCAAAGATGAGAGAGAAGAAAAGAAAGTAAGAGATAATTGAAAAAAAGAGAGAATCCAACAAAATAGAGAGAAAGAATAGTGAGAGAAAGAACTGAAAGAATGAAGAGAATGGAAGAGAAACGATAAAGGTAAAAAAAAAAAAAATGAGAGATAGATTTGGAGTGAGAGGGGACGAGGGAGAGAAAAAAAAAGTGAGTTTTAAGTTTAAAAATTCTAAAAGCTCATTTTTTATATTTTTAGAGAATAGATTAGATTTTTGAGCTAATTTTGAGTTCATTTTTTAAAAATAGTCCTACCAAACAAGTTTTTAAGGCCTAAAACTTGAAAATTGTTTTTGAGTTTAAAAAATTGGATTCAAGTAGAATACTAAACATGCCTTGAACTTTTTACAAACCTGAATTTTGGAAAATTAAAGCATTTATAGTTTTGGGTTTATTAGGTTAGCGATGAACATGTTTCCTGCGGTTAGGGGTTGATATGATTTTGGTGGGTGTTGTTCCTTGGAGAATGCTACTTCTATTTGTTGGCCAAGCTTGCTTTTTCTTTACTTCATTTTGCATTTTATATATTTATTTTGTCGAAATAACACAGGCCATTTGTATGTTGAAAACTCTATACGATTAGTTTGCATTCTTTAATTTTCGTTTGCTTGAATTTGATGGGGGGTTTGCTCAAACTCCATGAGCACAAACATTCTTCTGCTCAATGTGTCATTTTTAATACTACGGATGCGTTTGGCAGGCATGGTTTTCTTGAGCTGGGGCAGGCCAACTCCTCAGGAACAAAAAGCTTGCATTGACAGGTAAACAACATTGCTCTTAATATATATTCATTTCTGCTACCGACGAATTGGAAGTTGAAGCCTTATTTATGAATTTGTGCGTAATGCTTATAACCAGGTCAGGTAGCTTTAACTATGACCCTAAATTCAAGGGAGCTACTGCCAAGTCCCTGTCTTCCCTCCAAGAAGATAAAGGCCTCTCAAAAGATGGCTTCTTGTTAAACCATTCTCGCAATTTGGTTGGTTCGGGTCTGGACACTTATGAAAAGGGCAAGACGGCTCTTCAGGACTGGAGGTCAGCCAATGTCGTTTCTAGATTAAAGGAATCTCAGTTGAGAAAGGAAAACGTTATCTTATGACAGAATGTGTGTGGTTTTGCAGGCATTTTGGATTGAATTGGGCATTTGTTGATCCGAAGACGCCAGTTCAAAATGGAGTGAAGTTTTGTGTTTGCGTCAAGGAGTTTCTGCCATGGGTCATGATGCCTCTCCAGGTTGTATATGTGAATGAAAATAAAAGAAGTAAACAGGCCATGGCATCTTTCCGTTTTGGAGGTGGTACCCTTCAAGGTCACCTGCTGGTTAGTTCTTTTTCACTTGGTTCAGTCTTCGTGAATTTAAGATCAAGAGGTGTTTAACTTGGAAAGAGAAGATTATAAATCATAGAGTTATATGAAAATCCAAACTGATTTGTGGTCCACAAATTTTGTGGAACGTAGGCTGGGGAAGAACGCTTCTCAATTGAACTGGATGAGAACAACCAAGTGTGGTATGAAATACTTTCCTTCTCGAAACCAGCTCACCCGTTGTCATTCATTGGATACCCATATGTAATGCTTAGGCAGAAGTACTTTGCTCATCAATCTACGAATGCAATCATGAAACATCTGAATGCTTCAAAATCCTAGTGTATTTATATGCTAATGAAATTCCTTTTATAATAAAAGCCTTCATTGTCGGTCTCTTATCTTCTTCTTATAGTTTAATTGACGGATATCATTATGACTCATCGTATTGACTTTGGTGTATGTTTTTGTTAAATTGATTGATTTAACATGAATTTCACTTCTATTTTCTTGTTAAGCATCGTCTTTGGAACTTTTTTTGTTATTATTAGAGACATTAGATGCGGACTCATTTCAAAATAGTAGGTACCCCTCAATTATCACAGCCAAACCGGTTTTGAATGCTGTTTGGTTGTTACTGCTTTAGTATGCTAATAGAAACATTCTATTTGGTTGAGTTCCTTGGAGTTGGGAGTATTGTCTCCTTGCCTCTGTAACCAAGTTGCTCTACGTCTGTATGGAATGCAACCGTGAGAGATCAGTTTCCCGGAGTCAAAGCTCCTAACAGCATGTCCAGCTTCGGTTTGATCAAGAAGTGGGGGTGCCAAAGCGAGATTAGCACACCCTCGATAATGTATTTGGTAGTGGAAAGTGGAATAGGATCCTCTCCGGATCCTCTTTGTGGGAATCCGGAGAATCAATCAATCGTGTCCATTTATCGCAGTTGGAAATTATTTTAAAATTTTAATTTAAAATTGAATATAACTAGTACCTAACGAAAACTGACTGCACGATGTACGATGAACGGGCACAATTGATTGATCTCCGGATCCCCGCAAAGAGGATCTGGAGAGGATCCTTGCCCGTGGAAAGTCTTGAGCAGAAGCTGAGAAGCAGTAATCCTCACCCACAAACAATATTCGATCATTTGAAAACTTTAGATTGATTATATATGGAATAGCTAGCTGGATGTGATGCATTTGAGATGATTATATGCAAGGAATCGTTTTATTTTTCACTTCTTCTAAGCATACATGGATATTATGAGCATGTCTAGAAATGTTTTTAAAATTATGGAAAACGCTTTTGGTGAAAATGTTTTTGGATTCTAAAACCAGTTATATGCTTCTTTCAGAAAGCACTTCAAGTATTTTTCGAAGATACACTAGCACTTTTACTAAAAGTGCTTTTAATCCATTTTAAAAGCATTTTCAAACACACATGTGGCAACCAACTAAAAACATATATTATTAAATTTATACTATCTTTATTTCAAAAAAACACAAAATGACATGTAATTTAAATAAATTGAAAACTCTTGACGTGTTTACTGGTCAAAGTACTTTGATCAAATCTTAAAAAAGAACATATCTAAACTCTATAACTTGTAAAGAGAAGTGGACTTGGCTACAATGCGTTTATACATTTAGTACAATCACCAATTGACGGTCTTATATGATAAGATGACCTCTAACATAATATCTTACCGTCCGTGGATACTTAACCAGTCCTTAGAAAATCAATGCAGTTAACAAAAGGTAAAAGACAAATACACATGCACGTACTTTTTAATCTTATGTGTTGTGTTTATATAAATTCATATAATTAATCAATTCAACGTTAAAAAATTAAGAATGAACGTAATTAAAAAAAATAAAAATTGTTTGTGGAAATAATTGAAATGACCAAAACACCACGCGAGACGGCGAGAGTCAATTTATTAACCGTTCACAATAACAAGGAAATTTGGGGACGAAAATGAAAGCGGAGGAGAAGTTGGGGTCGAAATAAAAAGAAAACATTTAACCTCTTGTTGTATTTGCGCTGCTGAGGTTGCAGAGCTTCTCTGTAAATACACAAGCGTCGATCTTCCAAGCTCACCAGGACCATGAACGCTCCAATAACGGGTCAGCCTCTCTCTCTCTTGACAGCTCTCGTTGTCTCATAGAATAATACAGGTTTTAGCGACAAAGTGATTAATTAAGGGTGTACTTCTGACAAGTGATAGTGAAGTATTTGCAACATGGCTTATGAATTGCGTCGCCTTTGATTGCTTTAGTTACTTTTTTTTATTTTTATTTTTTTATTTTTTACTTTTCTTTTTGGTTTTGTTTTGTTTTTGTTTAATCTGCATTTCATCAACTTTGATACTCTCTGTCGCTTGTCGCTTGGCACCGATAAATCTCAGCCGATAAATTGCGGAATGGGGAGGTTTAAGGATATAGAAAGAGGAGAAGAAATGCAGCGGGTGCCATTGAAGCATGCTAACAAGTTTTGGGGGGTCATATTGAATCATTGATGCAGTTGAAGGTTTCAGGTTTAATTTGATCATCGGGCAATCGTTTAAGGGGGGATGGTGATTTATAAAATAGATGATGAAAGTTTTAGATTCGGTTGCATTTTGTGCCTTCGAGAATAGCAGGCAGGGGCAGATGTGCAAGCCAACCACAACCCTTGATGAGGGCCGTGTAAATAGGTCATCTTAACCCACCAAATCAGGACCCATGAGACTATTCGAAAGCTCCAAACTCAGCCTCTTCGCGTTCAAAGCTTCTGTATTATGCTCACAAGTGACCCCTTTTGGCCCCTTCAATTCCTTTGTACAAAAAAGATGGCTAAAGCCTGTAATTTCGGCCCGAACACGCTTAGAAGACCGAACAAGGGACTCGAAGCTAGACAAACTCACAACCCACCTCAAGAAGCTCGATATCATCCTAAAGCTCCATGACCTCATGTCCAGTCGGAAGCGCGGACCCTTTGTGTCCGTGCAACTGATGTCTCGATGGAGGAACCTTGTGGGGCTTAATGTAGGTATTGGCGCCTTCGTTCACAAATACCCACATGTTTTTGAGGTGTTTAAACATCCGGTACGACGCAGTTTGTGTTGCAGGATCAGTAAGAAAATGAGGGGTTTAATAGAGGAAGAGGCAATGGCTATGAAACAATGGGAACTCGAAGTTGTTCATCGTGTAAAAAAGTTGTTGATGATGTCTGTGAGTGGCACTCTGCGTGTCCATGCTTTGAGGTTGGTCAGGAGAGAATTTGGATTGCCCGAGGATTTCAGAGAATCTATCCTCGGTAAATATTCAAAGGATTTTAGGTTGATTGATTTAGAGGTTGTAGAACTGATTAGCAGAGATGAGAATTTGGATGTTGCTGAGATTGAGAAATGGCGAGAGAAGGAATTTAAAGAGAAGTGGTTGAGTGAGTTTGAGACAAAGTACGCCTTCCCTATAAATTTCCCAACAGGGTATGAGATCCAGGCAGGATTTAGAGATAAGTTGAAGAATTGGCAAAGGCTTCCTTACGTGAAGCCTTGTGACAGGAAAGAGGTTGTCCGCATTCGTACTTGTGGAGGGATAGAGAGGTATGAGAAACGGGCGGTTGGTATTCTTCACGAGTTCTTGAGTTTGACAGTAGAGAAGATGGTTGAGGTTGAAAGATTATCTCATTTTCGGAGAGATTTTTCTATGGTCGTTAATGTGCGGGAGCTTATCTTGAAGCACCCTGGAATATTTTACATATCAACCAGACGTAATAGTCAAACTGTTTTTCTTAGAGAGGCTTATAGTAAAGGGTGCCTGATTGAGTCCAATCTGATATATGATGTTCGGAGGAAAACTTTAGACCTTGTTTTCCTAGGGTGTCGAAATACTAGACAAATGCCAGCTCCAAAGGAAATTAAGGAGTTCAAAGTAGATGGGGATGGCAAAATGGATGGTGACTGGGTTATTCCAATGTTAGAGAACTTGGACAATGGAAGTTGAAATTGGTAATTCAAGGTTTCACAAATACAATGAGAGTCCTTGAAACTAGTGGAATGGATATGTTGATCATTTGGTGATGATCCATATTTTTAAACACATATCATCTGAAAAATAACTTGAGTTGGATGAAGAATGCTTGCCCTCACAACCCACTCGAGAAGACTGAAGCTGCTGACAATGTGGTAATGACGCTTCCCTCTTAAGAGATCTCTGTTGATATTTATTTTGTCTTAGGTTCATAAACATATATTATTTTTGTGGTCGAAAAAAGGATCTTATACTTGGTCTGATCAATTTTACTCTGTAGTTCCAACGCCGCATCATTGCACCTTCTGAGCTATTGAACAAAACTTGTTTATTCATATACTTAATTTTCTTCTAGTAATAGCTCGCTAACCACCAATATAGCTTTTGGAGGATTATTTATGCCACATTCACTATCCATCTCATAATTTATGTAGTGCTGAAACCAGGATATGTGTGAACATGAAAAATCTCAGATAGTCGTGAACTCTAAGAAAGTCTTAAATACTTGTACATGCCATATTAACCTTTATTTATTTATGCCCGCGAGTTGTATCTTCTTACTTGGGAAATACTGTCCTTTCATTTTACTTTTTGCGTAGATCCATGTGAAATTGTGGTCGTCCAAACTAAGACAGAGAGTGAGGAAAAAGAGGTTCAGTTTGGATTTGAAAGGTGTTATCGTTTTCAAATCTTCTATGGGGATGCACTGTTGCTTCTTCTTAATAGCTATTTTCCTTTTTAAGATCATCAATAACATTCGTAGAAAAAATATATTTCCACACAGGCAGATGTAACCCAAATGCTTAACATATATTCTTTAATAATTGTATTCACCAATTCTAATTATACAAGAGGGTGGTTTTCTGAAAAACTATTATTTTTTGTTACCAAACTAAAACATAACCCAATTGAAGATTGCTTTATCAAAGAGTTCTCTAGTATCTCTCTTATTTGGTGGTTTTCAAAAGAACTTGCAATGTAGTGGCATGGTGTTTACATGGAGCCATGGATGTCTCACTCTGGAGGGGTTTTATTGTTTCTTCTTCCTTCCTTCTAACATTTGGTGATTAACACCGTCCATCTGGTTAAATTGGTTGGAAAAACTGATTCTCAGATAGGTTGGAAAGAGATGATGCAAGAGGACCAAATTGTTATGGTTGATGCTTTTAGGTTTGTCTTGTAAACTCTCTTTGTACTCGTATGCCTTCATAGATGAATTGTTTTATATTAGAAGGTTCTCGTATATACCAAAACTGACTTCTTGCCTTGAACATGACAATGGTTATATCTTAATCTAATATAATTCAGTAAAGTATATGACAGTCAAAATGTTATGGTGCAGATCATACTAGGATGTAGTATTATAGGTCCGAAGTTATTTGGTGGTTATTCAGCTTCTTAGACCTTGAAACTATGCAAGCCTTTGTGTTTGTCATTTCAATTGGGACATTAAAGAGAGAGAACCTCCCTTTTAAATTAGAAGCTAAATGCAAAAATTGTAAGAAATAATAAAAAAGAGAGAATTATAATAATGTTCGATGCTAGGGGTAGGAGCCTAGGAGATAACATCTAATTGGTAGAATGACCTAACAGTCAACAGTGCCTTTGTATCCTTCATAAATGATGCAAGGTAAGTTGTGGTGCTGGAGCAAATGAATCCGGGGGGAAGGGAGTGGGTATTATAGGAGGGTGAGTTGATATTTTGTTATATCTTGTTGAAGTGAGTTTTAAGTACTTGGTGTTTCTTACTTAGTCTTTTTGCCCTGTCTGAATTGTTTACTGCCTTATCTGTCATCTGTTGTACAGGCATAACCCCAGTTTGCTATGATCTAAAAACAACATGACAAGAATGCCTAGTACTGTCGAAAAGATGTCTACTTCCCAAAATATCGGGGCTATAACATTGTGGAGCCAAGGTCTTGGCATTTTCCAAGTTGATATTATTTTGTAACAAAAAGTGCCAACAGATTCAGTGGCTCATTCAGGTCATTAATCTTCAGGAACTCTCATCGAATTGCTTTAGCTCCCATATTTGGGTTATATGGTGAGTGAGCAATGCATGCTAGAGAAACATGGATTGGTTCTTAGAATGGATAACATTGATCTTTATTGAATTTAAAAACCTCAAATGTATGATTCGAACGACAATAATCTATAACTCTTACTTTATACTTTGTAACTCGCTTATCCCGGAATGGCAGATAAAAAGGCATTACAATCTAGAGACTGTTTGCTGTTTGTTTTGTAAGATAACCAGTTCCTTCCTTAAGATTTTACTTGCTGGTGACCGCGGAATGGCAGAGATAAAGTCCACTCTTCTTACTTTTTTGTAGGGAGCCACCTGAAAATTTCGAGTACCAGAAGTTAGAAGACTGTTTCTCAAGATTAGTGGCTACTGAAAAAGGATGCAGAATGAATCTCAAAGACTGACCTGGCCGGCAACAAATTGGATGACTTGGTCTTCAGTGAGTCCATCTGGACTAGCTGCTCTCACCACATATGCCATTGGTATTTGTCCTGCTTCTTCGTCTTCAACACTGCATCATTTTTAGTTGTATTATACACACAGATAAATATAGATATGGATGCAGATATAAGGAGCTTGTTCGCATTTAGAAAGAGGGAGGTAAGCAACGCACGGTATAACGGCTGCATCAAGAATTTGAGGATGACTCAAAAGTATGGCCTCCAATTCCGCCGGAGCAACCTGATATCCATTATGCTTGATGAGCTCCTTTATCCGATCAACGATGAAAAGGAAGCCTTCCTCATTAAAATAGCAAAGATCACCAGTTTTCAGCCAGCCATTTGAGTCAATAGTTGCAAGTGTCGATTCCACATTCCCCAAATACTCTTTCATAATAGTAGGGCTCTTTAGCCACAGCTCTCCTTCCTTATATGGCGGCAAGGCCTCCCTGGTTTCGATATCCACTATCTTAGCAGAAAAACCCGGCAGCAGAACCCCACAAGAGGCGGAGTGAGCCTTTGCCTGCTTGTCTGAAATGAAAATAGTTGCTGCACCACAGCTTTCCGTTAGGCCATAGCCTGGCCTCATCTCAACCCAAGGAAACCGCTCTCTAAACTCATCAATCAATTCTTTGCTCAACGGTGCGGCCCCTGAGCTCACCCTCCTCAGAGACGACAAGTCGCAGGCAGCTTTGCTTGCGTACTTTACTAGTCCAAGAATCACCGGAGGCACGGCTGGTATGTTGCTCACTTTGTGAGTTTTTATAGCATCCAACATGGTGTTGAACTCAAACCTTTGCATCAAAACAGTGGTGGTTCCTGCGCAAAACAATCCAAGGCCGAAGAAAGCGAGCCCGTAGATGTGGAACATAGGAATGAAGCACAAAAACACATCGTCCTGTGCTGATGTTTCGTCCACCGTCCATCTGAGCATTGTGATAATGGCAATGAAATTTGCATGTGTTAGAACTACACCTTTACTTGTCCCAGTAGTCCCTGAGGAGTACAAAATAGCAGCAGTGTCTGACTGAGTCGGACGGGCTTGCATCAACTCGGTTGGAATGGGATCATAACCTTCAATCAACTGTTCAATGGTGAGTGAGTCATCACCACTCAACAGCCTTGATGTTAATATTGTAGGCACCCCAGTTGGGACCAATTTGTGAAGCTCCTCAGGAGATGAAATAGCAAGCTTGGCGCCCGAATCGCGAACTTGCTTGCCGATTTCTGACTCGGTGTTGATCGGATTTGCCGTGGTTAAAATTGCACCAATTGTCAACACTGCCAGGCATATGGTTGGGTACAAAAGTGAGTTAGGTGACAAGAGAAAAACCACATCCCCTTTTCTAACACCAAGTGCCTGGTACAAGCCTGAAGCAAGAGCATGAATTGAATGTCGAAGCTGTTCATAGGTGACTCGTTCGTTGGTGGCCGAGTCAATGAGTGCAACTCTCAACTCGGCCTCATATCGGGGCAGAAACTGCGACAAAACAAATGCGGCCGTGTCGAGGTTATGCTTGGCGGGGATTTTGTAACGGGGACCAAGGTTGAGAAGGGAGTGATATATTCCGGTTTTTGGGTCGAAACCATTTGTAGTACTTCCGGCAATGTGGACTCGATCATCCCCGCCGGAGAACCCTTGGAGAGACATTATGCTTTTGAAACTGATATGTGGCGAATGTGTTACGTTAAAGTTTGGTGCAATATAATGCAAATAAATAGGACTGTATTTAGAGTTATATTATTGTTGATTGAGTATGACATTCGAGGTTTAACATTGTTAAAAACGTCAATGAAAGTTAGATTATCGTTAATTGCTTCAAACATTCATATGTTCTCAGTGGCCGGCAGAACAATTCAACGGAATATTCACTGAATAAATCTATGTTTTGTTTTTTGCCTTTAAACATTCATAGTTTCCATATATCTGCCGTACAGAAAAAAAACATAAAACAAAAGAAATGTATTAAAAGGGTTGATGAATCATAATCCGTGTTGTAAACCCTGAACTACCGGAAGGGAGTTTTGAACTTGGGTGCAGTCGGGAAAGTAGACGCCTCTAGTCATTTTGAACTTGGCTGCGGCGAGAAGGGGAATACGTGGATGTAGCCAATTGAGCTAAGACTAAGTTTGCTCAACAAGATACTGATGATTTGAGTATTTCAAGATTGTGATGTCATTCAACAGCAACCTGGAATGAGGATCCTCTCCGGATCCTCTTTGTGAAGATGCAGGGTATCCTCTAATCGTATTTATTGTATATTATGCGGTCCATTTTTCAGGTAGTATTTATATTCAATTTTAAATTTAAAAAATGATATATGACCGTATGGTGTACGATAAACGGATACGATTGAAGAATTCCCAGAATCCTCACAAAGAGGATCCTAAGAGGATCGTCATTCAGCAGCTTGAATCCATAAGAAAGTTGTTTGAAAATCAAGCTGGCATTGGCATTGTGCAGAGGAATAAGTTTTAAGGTTGCAGCTGGCATTACAAAATTTAAGGAAGATGTTTGTACCATACTTGACCAATCTACCAAGTACCGGTCAACTTCATATCTTCAAGGATCCATTGAGGGGTTCATGTTGAGGTAGCCCTGCTGAGGCACAAGAGTTTCTCTCCAACCAGGAGGCCAATCATAGCATGACACATGTCAACGTCAGCATAAAGCTCATAGAGTCCCACATCAACCACAAACAAAAGTTGGACACCCTCCTCAACTATAAAAGAAGACCATTCCCCTACAATGAAAATCCCTAACGTTATTATTGTACTTAAACTAGTCATTAGAACTCACTAATGATGATTATGCTTGAACCTATGTATTTGTGTAAACCCTTCACTATTAATGAGAACTCCTCTACTCCGTGGACATAGCCAAACTTAAGTGAACCACGTACATCTTGTGTTTGCTTCCCTATATCTATCCCTTTACATATTTATCCCCAATAGTGACCGGAGCAACTGAGCGAAGGTTACAATTTTGATACTTTACATTGTTCCGAAGTCTTCATTGGTTTTTTGCATGATATTAAAAAGTCGTTAATTTTGCATAGTCAAATTATGAATATATGAGTTAAAAGTCAGAGACTTCATCCAATACGCAATCCACCACTCGTTTGTAAGAGTTAATTGACAAACAAAGCGATGGAGGTATGACATTGCAACAAATTCATAAGATAAGATATGACACTGAAATGTTTTAAAGATGAGGTATGAAACTATGGTTGGCCCAACAGTTGAGGTAGTTTTTTGTAATTTACCCAACAAAAAACATCATTAATTGAAAACTTTTTAAATGATATATATACACACCACAAATATAGATTAAGATCAAGATTCTAAAAGACGCTAGGCGCTAGTCAAGTGGCAGGTTGGGGCGTATCGCTTAGGCGGCTAGGCGGGGTCTAGGTAGGCGCCTAGGAGAACTAAGCGGATTTAAGTAAATCCATTATATTTCATTAAAAATAAGTGTCTGTTTATACTTCAAATATATATAATTTCATCATAAACTATAAAATAGAAAGACATATATATTATGAAGTATTGGAACATAATGAAAACATGGAGAACAAGCATATAATGTGTGTTCATTTAAGTATTCAACAAGTCTCTTATAATTGATTAAAAAAATAAAATACAAAATGAAAGTTATCTATTTTCTGTCTAAGTGAGTTGCATCCTAGGCGGGTGCCTAAGCGGTCTAGGCAGGCTCCTTAGCAGGTTTAGGCACCCTTTCTTAGTTTTCAAACACCTAGGCATTAATCGGGCAGTGGTCAGCCACTTTACACCGCCTAACGTCAAGGCGAGGCTTTTTAAAACAATGATTAAGGTTAGGGGACAGACAATTTGACAAAATTTGTGAGGCGTACTCTGTAACTTTTTTCAATGATTTAAATCATTTATACTTCAATTCATTATTCATAAATTATCATTACAAAAAATTGGACCAATGCAGTTTTGCAAAGAAACACTAAAGTGATTATGATTTAATTAAAAAGTCATATAATTTCGACTTTGAGTGAAATTTATAGACATGATCTTTTAGAAAATATTTAAAAGATAAATTGTTTAAATAATTAATACAAGGGTAAATTACATAAAACTAACTCAACTATTGGGTCAGTCACAGTTTCATATCCCATCTTTAAAAAATTTCAATGTCATACCTCTTCTACGAATTTTTTACAATTTCATAGATTCCGTCAGTTTTCTGTCAATTCTTCCGTTAAATAGTGACATGGCTTGAGACAAACTCACTCTCTATTAAAAAAATTAAAAAAAATTAATTAAATATTTAAAAAACTAAAAAAATCTTTTTTTTTTTTTTTGCATATGGGACCTATCCCTACAAACCCATCACCCTACCCCTTATCCCCATCAAAAATTTTCTACGCTCTCGTCTTCCCCCAACCCAAACCCAGATCCAACTCGCGCTAACATCCCCCGACCCTCTCCGGCCACTCATCCCACTCCCCCACTCTTCTCATCTCTCCCCAAAAACAAACAAATTTTGAAAAGGAAAAAAACCCCAGAATATTTTGATTATCGGCAAACCTAGCCAAATTTCTCAGCACACCCTCACTCGAAGCCTACGAGCCTATCTTGGAAAATGTCCAATAGTGAGGAAAAGAAGAGTTTGGGGGTTGAGGTGGGTCAGGATCGAGTCGGGGCTTTTGCTAGCTCTCCATAGAGAGAGAAAGTGAGGAGAGGGAGAGTTTTGGGGTTTGCTTTTTAGGGTTTACAGAGGAAAGAGATGAGAGAGAAAATGTCGGATCGGGTCAGGTTTGAGCCCGTGAGAGGTAGAGATCTGATGGAACGGAGGGATGGAAATGAACAGAGGGAGGGGAAGAGAGGAACGGAGGAAGGGGGAGTCGAAGAAGTGGCGGATGAGAGGTTGGGGTGACCAAAGATGGGTGAGTTGGATGTTTGGGTGAACTGGGAATAAGGGGTGGGTGATGGGTTTGTAAGGGATGGGTCCCACATGCAAAATAAATATTAAATGATTTTTTTTCTAGTTTTAATTAATTTTTTAATAGAATGGGCCTCATCTCAAGCCATGTCACTATTTAACAGAAGAATTGACAGAAAACTGACAGAAGGTATGAAATTGTAAAAATATCATAGATAAGGTATGCCATTGAAATTTTTTAAAGATGGGGTATGAAACTATGACTAACCTAATAGTTGAGGTAGTTTTATGTAATTTACCCTTAATACAAATAGAACCCAGATAGAATCTTATCTGATATATAATATATATGGTTAATCTTGTCCAACTACAAGCGATCGAGCGGATGTAACTTGACAGAGTGGTTCCAACTTTAGGAGGTTTGGAAGAAGGGTAGTCATGTCCGACTCCAGGCAAGGAGCGGGGACAGGCTGATGAAGCGTCTTCCCAATTCCGACAAGGATTGGAAAAAGTAGACATTCGAGGCCTCTAGAACTTGGGAGTTTCCTGCAGGGGAGGATCTCCCCTCTATTCCCAGTATCTTCAGTCCTCGTAAATATTTTTTTTTCCTTTATTTAACATCCAGGACTTCGACCAAAACCTAAAAGCCAATAAGGTCTCATTTAAAGAAAATTAGTAGCTAGGGGCCGAATACTAAAATTTATATAGTTTTTTAGATTATTTACATATCAACCATATGTGGATTCTTCCTATTACTATTATTATTAGCCTTTTGTGAAATGTGTGGAGCCTAAAATAATTCCAAAAATTCTAGAGGCGACACGTGAACGTTTGCTCAAGAAAGACAAGATTGCCCTTATTAAATGGGTAGGCTCCTCAGATACTCACACACACAGCTCAACACCTTTGAAGGTCCATGCAGCTGAATAGGACTGCCCATCTCACCTGCCCTTGGCAAGGAAAAGTCAAAGAGATAAGGATTAATTACCCAAATCCTATCTTTAATACATTACCAATTGAAGATTCACTCCATTCAAGTAAGTAATCCCTATTTAAATCAATTAAGGATTTTTACTCCATTATCTCTCTATATATTATTTCCTATTTAATATCTTGAAAATATTCTCTCTATACACATTGGCCAGCCAATAGGATGCCGCCATGTGTAGGGTAAAAACCCTACACCATGGCCAGCCCTCTCCCCCTATATATATCTCTAACTCTGCCAAATTTCGGTAAGCTTTTGCGACCCTAAAAAGTTCTAAACACTTACTCTTTTTAGATAAACTAACTTAGGCATCGGAGATCTATTGGCCTAACCCCCCATCTCGTGGGCGCGTGAGGCTTAGGTTTTTGATCAAAGATGTTGATTATTTGGCATGTGCATGTTCGTCAAAGAAAGAACGGCAGAGATTTGCATCAACAAAATGCATGGCTTTAGAACATCTAATTTAAAACTTTATGGTGATATCTTGTCTTCATGTAGCGTGGGATGTCGAAAACACAAGCTACACAAGTAGTGGTGGTACTAAAAGACAAACAGATAGAGAGAGACCCCTTTGGGTTTATGCACCCTTTCTCCTTTCTTTTGGGTCCAATTTCTCCGCTTTGTTTACATTCATGAAATTCTGACCACAGACTGAATTAACGATGCAATGCTACTGTAGGAGCCACGTTACGAGTTGATGCCAAAATCTTGGACTTTGGTTGTTGGAATGCTACTGCAAAATTGATGCTCTCTTTTGTGTCATTTTTACTGAATTCCAATTAGAAGGGTAAAACGAAAATTACTAAAGCAAATACTAGTATTCAACTTCTGATTTCCCAAAGAAGCTGAGGTTCTGTTTGTTAATATTTTACAAAGCAATTTTTCGTTTTCAACGATAGAAAAATGTGTTCGGCAGACTAATTTGTGAAATAAACTCAAAAATAAAAAACACAGAAAACAATATTTAGTCTAAGTTTTGTAGAACATC